TGCAATCTCCACCTCCCAGGGTCAAGTGATTCTCCTGTTTTAGCCTTACATGTAGCTGGAACTACAGGCATGTGCCACCACACCAGGCTAATTTTTTGTATTTTTAGGAGAGATGGTTTTTGCTATGTTGGTTAGGCTGATCTCGAACTCCTGACCTCAGGATTCACCCGCCTCGGCCTCCCAAAGGTGTGCACCACAATGCCTGGTCGAGAGAATGGTTTTTAAAAGAAAAATGGGGAAGATTACATAACTGTTTTATCTGTGGCTACAAAGATCCATAACAAGGGTGATGCAAGTCCGCACTAGACAGGCTGTTGCTGGGTAGATGTCCTTGAAGTATTTTTTTGCATAAGGCTGTGATGCTTTTTGTGCAAGGCTGTGGTTTTTGCAATATTTTGTGATAGTTTTGTTACTGGGCATACCAGCATGAGAACCTTCACTATCACAAAAGACTACAAACCCCACTCTATTCGTTCATTTTTTCTTTCTTGAACTCAAGTGACCCCATTTTGATTCTGACAACTTTCATACTTTATTAAAATCTACTTTTTCTGAGATTCAAAGAGCTACATCTTTGGTTAGTATACGTCTACAATACCTTTTCTCATCCTTTCAACTTCTCTTGTCATATTTTAGGTGATGCTCTTGTAAACAGTATATTGCTAGACTTAAAAATCCAAGCTTATGGCGTGTCCTTTACCTGACAGATTCCATTCACTTTCATTGGGATTTAAAACGTGTGATCTTGTTACTACATTTCTTTCAGATTTTCCTGCTTTTTAGATACCTGGGTTTTTTACTTTTTTCCAAAAAAAGAAAGACTTTTTTTTAGTCAATCTTTTTTAAAAAGAGGTTTTAGGTTCACAGCAAAACTGAGTGGAAGGCGCAGTTCCCACAGGCTCCCTCTCCACCAGAGTGGGCATCTGTTAAAACTGATGAGCCAACACTGACACATCATGATCACCCAAAGTCCTTAGGGTCCGCTGTGGGTGGCGTACATTTCATAGGCTTGGACAAATGTATCATGACATATATGCACTATTATAGGATCATACAAAGTAATTTCACTGCCCTAAAAATCCCGTGCTCGGCCTAACCCTTCCTCCCTAGCCACCACGGATGCTTTTATTGTCTCCATAGTTTTGCCTTTTCCAGAATGTCATATAGTTGGAATCATATCAATGGCAGAACTATGGAGACAACTGTATGAGTGGGTACAATGTATCCACAAGGCTGGACCTGTTCCTGTCTCAGGGTGCTTGGAATGCCACACTTGTGCAGTGAGGTTCCCATTGATTCTATCACCAGGTGAATCTTAGGTAAACTATCCCTCAACCCTCGCTGGCTGTGAGACTTAAGAGTTACTTTGTATCTTGTCATCAAAAGAACTTTACTAGTAATCCCAGCACTTTGGGAGGCTGAAGCAGGCAGATCACTTGAGATGGGAAGTTCAAGACCAGCCTGGCTAACATGGTGAAACCCCGTTTCTGCTAAAAATACAAAAATTAGCTGGGTGTGGTGGTGTGGGCTTATAGTCCCAGCTACTCGGGAGGTGGGGGCAGAAGAATGGCTTGAACTCGGGAGGTTGCAGTCAGCTGAGATTGTGCCACTGCACTCCAGCCTGGGCAACAGAGTGAGTCTCCGTTACACACACACTCAAAGCACTTGATGAACAGAGAAGAGACAGTGGTCAAATCTGAGAACCCCAAACCTGAAATTACAGAGAACTGTTCCTGAACCTCCATGGCCCTGGTCCTGGGCCTTGGCCTTTAAGTAGACCCCAAATAGGCAATCCCAGTCTTGAGAGAGTAAAGAGAGAGAGAGAGAGGTTTCATTGCTCCTGGGACCTCAGATTCTGCTGTGGGACAGGAGCCTGGACCTGCTAACCTCTCCACTCTGGGCACTGTGCCCTCATGATGGATAGCCAAGGCTGGCTGGGGATCCAAGCTTCCCAGTCTGACGTGCATCCTTCTGACCAGTCTGCTCGTTGCCCTGCCCCTCACCTCCTTCCTGTCTCCCACAGGACCATAACCTCCCTGGCAACAGAGGGATGCAGCCTTGCCCAGGAGCGCCTGCTGCTTCCACCGGCCTCAGCCCCACCGTCCACCACGGAGCTTCCACCTTCCGGGAGTGCTCCACTGCTTTCCTTTCCTGGGCAAATTCCTACCCATCCTTTGAGAACCAGCATGAACACTGCCTCTTTCTGTGATGCTCTCCTCTCTTCTCTAAGGCTCTATCCCTGTTTGCCTGCCTTGGCCTACGAGCTCCTTTAAGGTGTGAGGGGGTGGGGCTGGGGATTTGGAGTTAAGTGTGAACTGCCAGAAACCTGGCGTGGAGTAGGGACTCAAGGATCTGGTGGGGTGAATGAGTGGACGGCCACCCACCCCTCTGGGACTTGATTTTCGGTCCATAGACGGTCCCTTCAGAAGGCTCCAGACCTGTCAGTTGCAACTTTACCCAAGGACCTGGAGAGCTGCTGTATTCCTCTCTCCACTGTACATTCTAAGGATGAGAAATTTCCTCCTTACCTCTATCCTAGGTCCTCCATGGGGCAATAAGGACATGAAGGCCACATACGGAGAGGACTAACATTGGTTTGTGACAGCAGAAGCTGGGGCCCAACCTCCATGTGCATTTGCTGTGGGACTCTGGGCTTGCTTCCTCCTTGAGAAGTGCGTGTGTAACCCAATGCTTGTGCCACCAATCCGTGTACACTTTGGAAGGATCCCTTTCTTCGCCAAGTGCTAGACATGCTGAAAGGCAAGTTGCAGGCCACCTTCCTGGGAAGCCCACTCAGCTGCACTGGCAGGCCGTCTGTCCTCACAGTCCTCAGTCACTAGGAGCACAATGACACTCATTAGCAGCTCTAGGGCCCATCCTCCCAAGAACAACATGCAATGAACTGATGTCTCCTGCCCAGCTCATGGCTGCCCCGTGCCTGTGGTGGCAGAAGCTTCCCAGTCTGCTTGCTGGGGCCCTGGCACATGACAGGATGGGCTGCCCAATGGTTCAGGGGGCTATTTGCAGATACGGGATCACATGAGGGCACAGCTTGTCCACAGTCACCTGGCTTTGTCTGGGAATCACTAGTGTTGCTGATGGCAACCACCCATGGGCTATTAGGGGCTGAGACAAAGACTGCACCCTCAAATGCTCCACAGCCAGCAACAGCTCTTTCCTTGCAGCTGCCAACTGCTCTCCTTGTTCTACTGACTCCTGCTCTAAATGTCTTCAGTTGCAGGCATATTCTGTCCCTTTAGACAATTTCCCCTACTGCCCTAGCCAGAAATTCTGAGGGCTGCACACAGGGTTTCCACCCCCACTAGATGTGCAAAGGCAGTCCCCTAGTTTTACAGTAAGGCCCAGGACAGAATCCAGATTTGATCCTAACATCCAAGTGAATCCTCCTCCTCTTAAAAATAATCTACTACATAAACAAACGGCAGGTGGCGGGACCAACTCAGATCCTGCCATTCACTTGGAGGTCCCCACACTGCACCTCCATCTAGGTTCCAAGAAAAGAACTCCTCTGTAGCTACTATTCTCACATCCCAGCACATACAAGCCCTTCATTTTCTGGCCATACGAAAAACCAAACAAACACAGAAATTTGATTCCCAGAACAAAACTTGTTATGGCTGAACCAGACAGGTGGGCATAAACCCTGAGCTCCCAACCTATTATCAAAGGCTCACAGGGTTACTGTATTACACAAACCTACAATGAGACCGCTGGCAAGTCATCTGCTGTCATCCCACTTACGAAATGTCATCATCAGTCAGTATGTGTACAGAGTACTGGGCCCAGAGATGACTGAATGACTCCGAGCCCTTGAGAGGGCAGAAAAAAGTGCAGCACTGTTTCTGGTACTGAGATTGCTCTGGTTTTGCAATCGACAGACTGAAAATTTGAACCATCAAAAAGACAATGCAGGGACAAGGTCAACTTTGCGTTTTTTGGTTACTCGAATGGAATACTGGTAGGTCAAGCTGTGGGTAATTAACAAAAAGGGCTGGTTAGGTAAGGACTGTCTGCAGACTTGTCAGAGAAATTTAAAATACGTGAAGGCTTGGTTATTGTTAGACAAGTGACTGGTATAGAAGTACCTATGCCTCAGGAGCATTGTTGATGACTGACTGAGCCAACAGAAAACACAAAAGTTCAAATTCACCTATCTGCTTTTTGCAGATGTCCAGCTTTCACTTCTGGCACCTCCAGGCCAAAGACATACAGACAGTGCTCAGTATACTGGAACAAACAGCTTTGGGGCCCGATCCTCATATACCTCCCTTCTCAAGTGGGAAGCACTGGATTAGAGTACCTGTTTGCCCCACTCTAAATTTAGGACCCAGGCTAGTTATTTTTTAACTGTCAACTTCAGAATGTACTTGTTTTGAAAGCAATCCTCAGCTGGGCGCAGTGGCTCACACCTGTAACCCCAAGGCGGGCAGATCACCTGAGGTTGGGAGTTTGACAACAGCCTGACCAACATGGAGAAACCCTGTCTCTACTAAAAATAAAAAATCAGCTGGGTGTGGTGGCGCACGCCTGTGATCCCAGCTACTTGGGAGGCTGAGGCAAGAGAATCGCTTGAACCCAGGAGGCAGAGGTTGCAGTGAGCCAAGAATGCACCATTGCACGACAGCCTGGGTAACAAGGGCAAAACTCTGTCCCCCACCCAAAAAAAGGAAAAGCAATCCTCTCCACTTTTAACTAGATATATACTATTTCCACAACTACAGAGCTGTATATTGAAGTCTTAGTTCCCTAAATATCTGTCAATATTTCAAAAAATAAAATTGAGGCAGATTCTCAGTTCACAGAAGACTAGCAAACCTAAAGAAAGCCAGTGACCCGATTAAATGAACTGCTTTGTGAAGCTGGCGAGTGTAACAGCAAGATACATCCAACACAAATCCAAAGCAACAACTACAAAAGAGGGCAGATTCCAATGCTTTGATCTCATTATAAAATGGAAACTTATTAAAGCAGAGACAAAATACAATTTTATCATTATTTTAATCAAGTAACTTAGCTGTTTGAAAACAAGAAATCCTTAAGACAGTTTAATAGAGCAAAGTGAAGAATTACTCTATTACGATAACCTGTGAACAAGGTTCAGATTATGTGAATTTGAATTCCATTGGAAGTTTGGCACCAGACTGAACACTGACTGGTCTAAGCTAAAATTTTTAGTGTTTTAGAAGCCCTGAATGTTTTCCCTCAGATAAAAAGTAGCTTTATGACAGAACCTCATTAGCTCGACACTACGTTCAATGCAACTTAGCTTAGGTCACCAGTATCTCCTTTAGAATTCCAGTTAATGAAAGCAAACCAGCGGCAAAGAATTTGAAACCTAGGCAACATCGAGTTTTAAGAAAAAAAACCTCTTTGGCGTGACAAAGCGCATTCCCTCCAGGTATGTGGCTCCTGCTCCACTTGCACTAGAATCTATCAAAGTTAGCTGAAGGCCAATTCTTGCCTCTCCAGTAAGATTGCTAGGTTTCAATTCCTTAAAACAGCAGGCCAACAAGGTTTTATTACATCAAATGGTTTGTCTTGTTTCAATGTGAAAAATTTTTTATGCTTGTTAAAGTCTCATTATCTGTGAGGTAAGTCACAAAAAAAGAGGTGAATAAGCCACTGCTCGAAAATTAACCCTATCGACTCTCAATTCCCACTGTGCACTTTGTGAAAAGGGGTAACTGTCAACAAGTTTAACCTTGAAGATGATTACTCAAACACAATCGGATCTCATATTGAGTTTAGATCAGGCAAGGAGTTCACAGGCAAGTTATCGACTCTTGTGTGTCCAATTCTAAAGCCCTGCATAGGCTGTCAGATCTTTGTCACCTGCACTCAGGTGGCCATCAGACCTCTTGGCTGCCTGGCTATATTCAATGTGAAGTAAAAAATATCCCAAGTCTTACACCAAAATAGAGGCTCTGACTTAGAAGTATACTTTTAGCTTTCTTTTTAAATAAGACATTCTGGGGGGAAAAAAAATCAAATTTGAAACACAGTAAACACTTATTTTGGCAAGACAGCAACCAAAATCTAAAAAGCAGAAACTGTGTCCAAATGTAAAAGGCATTAAAGAACAACCATGGTGGGGGGGCAGGTGGGGAGCCACACTGAACAAAAAGATATAGTATGTGTAACATTTTGGAATTGTAATTTAAACCCTAAGGGCAAAAGCTGAAAAATTATGCTTAGGTCGCTAATAAGTGCACTCTTCCCTGTTTCTCCCAAATAAAATCAGTTTATTGTTTAATTGCACCCCAAAGCAAATTATCTCAGTACTACGTAACTACTACATACACACAAAATGCTTGTTAATGTAATAATTTCCCTGGCTCATCCAATGTGCAATGCATATGATTTCAAAGACTACGATTTGGGGCAAGTGCACACGATGTAAGAAAACAACTCTCCAAGTTCCAAAACCTGCTCTTATACGACACTCAGGTCATCAGATCATATTTACTTCTTGGTAAGATGCTGCACTGTCATTCATCAATCTACCTCACAACATACATTACCAGATGCCGATTTGAGGGACTAGAGGTTAAAACTTTAGTACTATATTTAATGGGCTGAATAAGGTAATTACAAGTAAGTTTGCTTTACCTTCTGCTGAAGACCTCTTTACAGCCTCAGCACCTAACGATAACTAGCAGGCTCCAAGAATGCTCATCAGGTGAAATGATGGCACATTTAAAAAAGGAGCCAGTTACTTCAGCTTAAGTCATTCAGAGCCAAACATCTGTAGAATGACCAAAATCAAATCTTTATTTTTATAACTGTATAAATGTGATCCAAATGTGTCCACCACTAGTTTTTTCAAAAAGAAACATGCTATAAATAAGCAAACTACATCTGCTCACTGATGTGTATGGACTCCCTAGATGTCTCACTGGGCTTAATTACAGACCACTCACAGTAAGAGATTTTTAGTGTAAAGTGTAGCATGATGTTAAGCCATTTTAGCTTTTGCACATACATGTTGCACTTCTGGCTGATAATGGAAAAAAATGTGCAGCATCACACTGTTAAGCTAGGTTGCACCCATCCCCTTAAATGGCATCAATATCAATGTCGTCATCCTTGTTGTCGGACTTTACGGTTTCAACTTTCGGTACACTGGCAGTCTTCGAATACACCACCTGATAAAAGGAATAATTTTATTCATCATAAGCTGATAAATCTGCTTATAAAACAAATCAACATAAATTGTGGTCACAAAGGAGGAAAACTGCCTAGATGCAGCCATTTCTTCTTCACTGAACAGCTTTGTTATGCAAAACCTACAGGTTATCTTACACAGGCTCCACAGTCTTAACTGTATTGTACAAGTTTTTTGATAGACTAGAATGTGTAGGAATAGAAATGGCTTCCATCACCCTATTAAGATTATTTTCCAAATTATTGGGAGGCTATATTTTATTGCATCTTAAATTCTAAATTCCAAGTTACCCCGAACTGCCGTTTTATTACTCCTCACAAACCTTCGTAAATCTCAAACACCCATTGACAACACTGTATTCAAATCAACATCCTCCCCCCGCAGTGTTTACCTCAATGTTCTCATCTTCATCTTCTTCTTCACCACCAGAAGATTCTTCCTCTGCCTCCTTCAACCATTTAATAAATGGTTCTGCTTTGACACGAATCTCTTTGGCAAGTTCTTTGGAAACATATTTCTTAGAGGCCTAAAAAATAGGGTACAATTCTTTTGAGGCCTTAATTTTTTTTTTTTTTTTTTTGAGACAACTTTCACTCTGTGGCCCAGGCTGGAGTGCAGTGGCACGACCTCGGCTCACTGCAATCTCTGCCTCAGTCTCCTAAACTTAACGATTTCTCATTATTTATACAACACCCCTTACTGAGCTCTTTGAAGAGACTGAGTCATAAGAAGTCTGAATTCCCAACAGAATATATGTACTCAACAAACACATCATTAGTCTCACCAGTTTGTTATGACTACAAAGCAGACATGGTGGGAATCACAACCTATAGCATAGGGACTGAACTTCAGCGTAGAGACTAGGTATTAAACACTACTTCTTGATCCCAAAACCCTGTCTCAATACTAGTGAACAGCTGGGTGTGGTGGCTCATGCCTGTACTCCCTGCACTTTAGATGCTGAAGCAGGTGGATTACCTGAGGTCAAAAGTTTCAACACCAACCTGGCCAACATGGTAAAACCTTGTCTCTACTAAAAATACAAAAGCTAGCTGGGCATGGTGGCAGGTGCCTGTAATCCCAGCTACTCAGGACGCTGAGGCAGAACTGCTTGAACCCGGGAGGCGGAGGCTACAGTGAGCCAAGTTCACACCATTGTACTCCATCCTGAGACAGAATGAGACTCCGTATCAACTACCACCTCCCCAACACAACCAAACACTTGTGAACTTAAAGAGCCCACCTATGTATTCCCCACCTTTTCCGACCAGCTGATGATGACCTCTTCTTCTAAAAGGTCTGCATCATACATCTCCTTCAAGATATGTGGAATCTTGGAGAGAAGCTGAGCTTGATGCATTGCTACCACACACTCCAAACCATGAAGGAGGTACCGTTGAGCTTTTTTGTTGTTGTGACAAAACTGCAAATAGATACCTTGGAGTTAAACAAGGTTTTTTATATGTTCTACCTTGACAACTCTAGTACCCAAACATTCCTTCCCTTCAGCAGAGTGCATAAGTGCGTGGCCCATTCAATAGTGGTTCAAAAAGGTCAATGCATAAAGATCCCCATTAAGTTTGTGAGGGCCTATGTGCAGCACTTTCAGACGGGCAGAGGTGGGCCAATTATCCCCACTTTCAAGCATGATAGGACAAGCAAAAGTGGTTAAAATGACCATCCTGAAAGCCACATAGCTGTAATCTCATTCATGAATCCAGAGTAATTCACTTACTCGTAGGAAATGGCGCCTATATTTCTTAATCTGTTCTCTGATCTTCTCATTAAAAAGAACTTCAGTCAGAACAAGAGGGCCCATGGCTTTTACATCTAGTCTTTCTGCTTCAGCCACAATTTCTTTGTCAGATGAATCAATAATACCCTCTTCTTTCTTCTTCTGCAAATAAAAGGAAACCAATTCAGTGAAATGAAGGTACAATTTGCCAGGCTCAAGACATCAGTCAGTCCCTACTCCGATGGACATATTTTTTCCTACCCAATTTGGCAGTTGACATATAGTGCCTGGAACCACCCTCCAAAGATACTTAATGAATGAACAAAAAAGTGAAAATAAGCCATGCATAGAGTAATCCTTTACAATTATAGAGTTTAAAGTATCATGTATCTAAAGGCCCAAGGCTGGGCTGAAGCTGATTTATAGACCAAGCAAAGGTTTTACCTTAACAAAATCAAACAGGATATTGACCCGCTCCTCAACTGTTCTTTCCAAATCATCGCTAAGAGTCAGAACTTTTGCATGGTCACTGATTTCATCCATTCGACGTCTCTGAGCTTCCTCAGTTGTATCTTCTCCCCAGTCATCATCCTCCTCTTCTTCCTGTTTATGAAAACAGTTAGTTGATTCAAGGCCATAAACACAGAAAAAGATTCAGATTTTGTCAAGTTAATGGCATCAAGTTCATCTCCTACCAAAATTGGGTTGACCTTAACTCAAACAGCCAACACTACTTGGAATCCAAAATATTAGTGTTATTACACTGAAGGTTAGTTTCAACATTTCCGTCCACCTCAACCAAATGCCATATACTTTACACAACTTTAGTGCCCACTAGGTCATTAACCCTCCACTCACCACTGTATGTGGAGGAGGACTAATTTCATTTGGCGGTGGTGGTGGTGGTGTCTCACTGCTGGATACGGAACCATTTTCCTTGTCTTTGCCCTTTCTATTTTTCTTCTCCTTTTCTTTCTTTCCTGTACCACTGTCACTATTCTCTATAGAGGAAAAGGGAAACAAAAATTTAACCCCATAATTTACATTACACCTCACTGCCCATTATGAACATTTAAAACCCTATCCTTATTTTACTATGGATCCCCTCAGAGAAACCACATCACTCACAATGCTACTTAAGAGGCTTCACAGATCAAATTCATCATGTATTTCAAAATTCATATATTTCGTAAGATGAAAATGTCAGCCTAAGAATGGAGTGACACAAAATATTAGGGATACAACTGCTAGGGAAGATTAAAATGAACTGATGATGCCTCAACCAGGGAGTGAAAGGGGGCCCTAAGGACCCCTCTCTGCCATCCCTCAAGAACAAGGTCATGTACTCAATCCAGCTTTAGCCAACAGTTGGAACAGTGTTTAAGTCTATATAATGGCTTATCTCATGGGAAAGAGAACACCGGAATAGGTTAGACTTTTTTGCTATAGCAAGCTCAAATTGTGTCAGACAGTTGTGATTATCTGCCACAGAGTGTTGCTTGCAATGCTCAAGTTTAATAAAGGGGGCCCCCTTTACACAGATCCTTTGCTGGGTTTCCATCAAAATTTTAATCATTACTTCATCAAGATAATCTGTCTTAATTGATTATATGGCACAGTTTAATCGGCAGCCTATTTTTCACCTTTAATGGTTAACAGTGCACTTTTGAAAGATGTCTTAGATTTGATAAAATATAGTGCCAAGACTGAAAGTTCCTTACATTTTGAGACAGAGGCTCGCTGTTGCACAGGCTGGAGTACAGTGGCACCATCTCAGTTCAGTGCAACCTCTGCCTCCTAGATTCAAGTGATTCTCCTGCCTCAGCCTCCTGAGCAGCTGGAATAACAGGAGTGTGCCACCATGCTTGGCTAATTTTTGTATTTTTAGTTAACAGGGGGTGGGTTTCACTATGTCGGCCAGGCTGGTCCTGAACTCCTGGCCTCAAGTGATCCGCCCACCCTGGCCTCCCCAAATGCTGGGATTACAGGCATGAGCCACTGTGCTGGGCCTCCCTTATATTCCTATTCCAAAAACACCTTCCATTTTATTCCCAACAGTCACTTTATGTTAGGATCTTAGGAGTTCATCATGAAGACTCACCAGGTGGGTTTTTGAGAATGAATGTGCAGAGTTTATGATGTGTGTCAAGCATGCCTCGATAGCCACAGGCTTTACAAGAATTACCTATTGTTTGCTTCTTTGGATTGACATGCTGCCAAAAAAAAATAAATAAATAAAAACAAGGATGTTATCCATAACATAAGATGAAAACATCTAATTGGAAGACATCTAAACCACAGCTTCACATACAAAATAAACTTTTTTTCACACAGTGACCTACTTTAAAAAAAAGAATAGAAATATCTCCAAAACTGGAGATTTTGGGTTTAATTTACAATTACATCTGCTCTGTCTTCTCAGGAAGGTGACTTAGTGATATTATAGAACTGATCACAAAAGTAGGTATATGGCTTTTGTTTTGACAACAACCACAAAAGCACTCACCAGATCTGTTTCAGGATTCTCACATTCAGGACAGAGAACAAATTTTTTAATGAATCCATCCAACATGTCTTGCAGCTTATTCGCCTCATGAGATCCATTGACAATGTAACGGTCATTCTTAACATCAAACTGGGTCTGTGCTCCCGGCTCACAACCAAAATATTTGGTGGGATCTATTTGAATGAAACAAGAGATCATTATACAGTTACCTAACTCAACCACCACTTTTTTTTTTTTTTTTTTTTTGAGATGTAGTCACACTCTGCCACCCAGGCTCGAGTGCAATGGTGTGGTCTTACTACAACCTCTGCTCCCTGGGTTCAAGCAATTCAACCGCCTCAGCCTCATGAGTAGCTGGGACTACAGGGGCATGCCACCACACCTGACTAATTTTTATATTTTTAGTAGGGACGGGGTTTCACTTTGTTGGTCAGGCTGGTCTCCAACTACTGACCTCGTGATCCACCTGCCTTTGCCTCCCAAAGTGCTGGGGTTGCTCTCCCGAGCCACCACTCTTTTTAAATTACTGGGTTAAAGAAATGTGTTCTCCTGGTAGTTTTGTAAACTCATGGCAACCAATAAACCAGGTCCTTAGTTAACTTGTAAGCTAACCAACTAGCATACAATTAAAACAAGTTTCGCAGCTCAAAGACTTTGATGAGCTCTCTTTTTAGACTTTTCAAGCTTTACTTACACGTTGGAGGCCGATTAAGCGCCTTGGCAACGTCAACCATGTTGACTATAACTGTCTTGATTCCATTTCCTTTGCCCTCAACCTAAAGGAAATAAAAATTTTATTTTCGCAGTTTCCCCTGACAGATGGAATCTTCAAAATTCTGCAAAAAGAGCTATCAACTAAAATGAAGAGCAGTGTATATTACCTTGGCAATCAGACGGGGCATCTTGTAGCGATAGAACTGGTCTGACACGCTGCGGTTGACGTTGACAGACATTTTGGCTTATTATTAGTGGCTTTATCAATAAGATGAAGAGATCTTTGATTGCAACTTTTTGGTATCTTCTGTCTGGAGAAGAAGGGATGACATAAACGACTGCAAGAGTTCTCGGTCTCTGACATGAAAAAATTTTCGCCACTGAGGCTGTAAGCTTCTTGCTTGTATGCTATGTTTCCCCAATACAGGTACCAATGGCTGCGCAACAGCTCTGAAAGAGAAAAGAGAAAGAACACACAACCCCACCCCTCAGGTTTCACATCACTGCTACTCGAAAACGCCTCCTTCTACATTCCCGTTAGTTACGCTTCTGCTTAATTCTACCTTAAAAAGCATCTGAGATCACGGGCAAATAGCCATTCTCCCCTAACACAGTACACCTGCGGGAACTTAAAAGGCCTCGATTTCAACTAAGCTGTGACTCCGGCAGGGAAACGCGGGTGAGAACACACTCGCTGTGCTGCCTCAGCCGCCGTGGGTCTCCATCAGACCGAGGGCAATCAGCAGGTCACCAGTTCGCCTCTGCGGCCATCCAGTCCGCGCCGAGAACGAACCCGAGCCCTCTCCGCCCCCACCCCGGCCTGGATTCGCAAACTGCTCAGGCACACCCCCGATCGTCACCATTTTTAAGGAGAAACTAGGCAACTGTCCTTTACAACTAATTGTTGCTTCGGCAACCGTGGCCTACTTCAAAGCAGCACTTCCTCAAACGCGGCGCCCGCCCGGCAGTGCCGTGGGAGCCAGGGAGCGCCAGCGAACGCCCAGCGCCAGGCCCGGCCTGGCCTCCCTCCTCCGGGCTGTCCAAACACTCGGTGAACCTTCGCCCTGGTCCCCATGGCTACCGCGCTCCGAGGCGTTTCCGCGGGGGCCTGCGGGCCGAGCAGCTCCGCGAAGGCGGGCGGCGCGCGACCCGGGCGTCGGGCCCATCCCCAGCGCGTGCCCCGAGAGCCGGCGGCCCGGGAGGCCGCGCAGCCGGGAACGACACCCGGCCGAGGGGCGCCGGGGCCGCGGCCGCCCCCGCCCGGAGCGCGCGATGACTCACAAATGCAGCAGCCGAGGCCCGAGTCAGCCCGGGCGGCGGGCACGCGCGGCGCGCTCCCGCGAGCCCGGGGAAGGGGCGAGGCCGGCCCGGGGAGCGCGCGGGGAGGGGGCGGCCGGGCCCGGGCCCGCCCGCCGCCCCCCCAAACTGCGCCACACGCCGCGGCGGGGTCACGCGGCGGCCGCCGCCATCTTGTGCGGCCGCCATCTCCCGGCCCGCCGCGCCCGCGACTCACCGTTTTCGTCAAATAAAGACATAAACCCAACGCTGCTCGCCCGGGACTGGGATGAAGTGAGGCGCGATATAAACCCGAGTCCGAGTCCGAGGAGGCGGAGGCGGAGCGCAGCGAGGAGCGGCCGGGCCAGGTGCCGCCGCCGAGCAGCGGGGAGGGGCTGTCCCAGCGACGTCCGCGGTCCACACCCGTCAGCGCCGGAGCCTGGCGACCTGGCGCGGAGAGACGGCGCCGTGAGCCGCGGGCGGGTCGGGGGGTGCGCCTTCCCCGCCAGCCAGCGGCCCGCGGGGTCGAGGGGGCGGGGAGCACCGGGCAGGGGGCGCGGGGCCGCCGCCCCTCCACCGGACTCACCTCTGGAATGTTCTCGCTGTGACTGAACAACGCCGCCGCCGCGCTCAAGCTACCCTCGGCCCCGGCGCCCGCCCCCCGCGTGAGGCCTCACTGCCCATTGGCTGGAGGCCTGCCACAGCTCGCTCGTCATTGGTTCGCTTGCGGCGTCAATCGCGCCTTTCCGCACCCCTTCTGCTTCCTGAGGCTCCACTCGTGGCCTCGGCCCGCCTCCAGCCCCGAGCCCCGCTTCCTTCCTCTCCCCTCCCCCCCCCGTTTCCCAGAGGCCTTCGCGGCGCAGCCTTCGGTTGTCGCGAGAGCCGGAGCGGCGCAGGCGGCAGGGCCGGGCCGCGGGGTCAGTGCTTTGTCAGTTTGGGCGCTGCGGGGAAGATGGCGGTTCGTTTCCCCCACGCCGGGTCTGGGCCAGGCCGCGGCGTCGCGGCGACTCCCGGGTCCCAGGACCATCGCCCTCGAAACCGCTTTCGAGGCCGTGTTTCTGAGGCCGACACTTTCGGGGAGAGGAAACCCGACCGCGTTCTCCCAGCTGCGGGCGCTCGTCTGTTTTCCGGTCCCCCACCCGGGGACGCAAGTCTCCGGGCCTCGAGGAATGAGTTGTTTTTCCATTCTAAGCCCCAGGCCTGTGTTTTTCATCCCAGGGCTGCCTTCTGTGGCGGACCCGGGTGGAGTGGCCGCCGGCAGAATGAGCCCGAGACTCGAGGGTGACCGCCCGGGGCGGTCGTCAGGCTGCCCCGCCGCCTGGGTGCCGGCCCGCACCCGGGCCTGCGCGCTCAGCTTAGCTCATCGCGTCGCTTCCCGTTTGTTTGGTTCCCTTAATTGGTTTGGAATCCTGGGGCCTCCTGAAGGCGCTTCGTGGTGGGGTCCCACCTTCTGGGGAAGGCTTCCCCCGCTCCCAGGCTTGAAAAGCGCTGTCCTTCCTTCCTACTTCCCTGTACCTGCTCCTCGTCGGCATCATGTCGACCCCACCCCCCCAGTTAATGACTTGTGAATTCCTTGACAGGGAAATCATAGCCCTGAGCAGGAGTTTATGATGAGATTCCAATGTATTCCATTGAAAATTACTGTTATTTACGCTGGTCGCTGTGGCTTATGCCTGTAATCCCAGCACTTTGGTTGGCTGAGGTGGGCGGATCACCTGAGGTCAGGAGTTCGAGATCAGCCTGGCCAACATGGTGAAACCCTGTCCTTACTAAAAGTACAAAAAATTAGCTGGCATGGTGGCGGGCTTGTAATCCCAGCTACTTGTGAGGTTGATGCAGGAGAAGCCTTGAATCCGGGAGGCAGAGGTTGCATTGAACCGAGGTCACACCACTTCACTCCAGCCTGGACAACAGAGCCCAGAGACTGTATCAAAAAAAAGAAAAAAGATTATTTAGAAAGAGGCTTTCATATTTTAGTTCTGTTGAAACTCTCCCATTCCTTCTGAAACTTGGATTTTTGTGTGTGTGAAAACTTGAGACTTAAAAACGCATCCATAGTCCACCCTGCAGTTTGAAGACAACTTGGCTGCAATAGAGTGAGAGCCCCGCTAACCTGCAGTCTGGTTTCGGGTGCAATCATCGTCAGGTCCTGAATGGCCGTGCAGATTTCCCGATCTGGAAAAGGGCAGTGTTGCTGAGGACAGGATGAGGTGGATAAGGGGCTGCCTTTTGTTTTAGACCAGTTGCATTTGCACTAAGGTTATAATTGGAAGCTATGATGATTTTTATTAAAATCCAAGATCGCGCCTCCAGAACTTAAAAGCTTTATAAACAAAAATCGGCAGTGTTGGTGGAAAGAAAAAAAGGCACGATCCAGAATTGAGAGGTGATTTGTGTCCTTTAGAGCAGAGACTTTTCTAATCCCACAGTGTGTAAGCTGGTGTATAGTTGTTAAGCCAAATGCACAGTGCTTTATGAGTACCAGGGTTCCCATCAGACAAACTAGAAAAGCAGATCTTAGGCCGGGCGTGGTGGCTCACGCCTGTAATCCAGCACTTTGGGAGGCTCAGGCGGGCAGATCACCTGAGGTCAGGAGTTTGCGACCAGCCTGCCCAACATGGCAAAACCTCGTCTCTACCAAAAAAAAAAAAAAAGAAAAAAATTTAAAAATTAGCCGGGCGTGCTGGCGGGCGCCTGTAATCCCAGCTAATCAGGAGGCTGAGGCAGGAGGATCCCTTGAACCCAGGAGTCGGAGATTGCAGTGAGCCTAGATCTCGCCACTGCACTCCAGCCTGGGGATCACAGAGATGCTGCTGCCGTTTCACTGTGGAGCATGACTTAGCGATACTGAAACAGTTCTGAGTTTTTGCTTGCTTGACAGCACACAAATGATGTTATTTTAGAAACTCTTTTGGAAAGTATGGGTGTGAAACTAGTCTGAGGTAAGAGGCCTTCCTCTTCAGAAAAGTTTTAATAACAAAACCTGAATTAGCTTTCTCGTATGTTTAATGGCACAATTTTTAATTTCATTAAAGAAGTTTGTGAGAATTTTAACTACTTTTTAGTATGTGTACCACTCATTTGTATGCAACCATGGACAACTTTAAAAAATGACTCTTGGCCCGGAGCCGTGGCCCACACCTGTAATCCCAGCACTTTGGGAGGCTGAGGCTGGTGGATCATGATGGCAGGAGGTTGAGACCATCCTGGCTAACACAGTGAAACCCAGTCTCTACTAAAAATACAAAAAATTAGCGGAGCATGTAGTCCCGGCTACTCAGGAGGCTGAGGCAGGAGAATCGAGCCCAGGAGGGAAATGTTTCAGTGAACCAGAATCGAGCCATTGCACTCTCAAAACAAAAACTTGTGTTATTTTTTTCCCTTTTATTTTTAGTTAACACAAATACAAAGTGATATTTCAGTACATGTATACAATGTATAATGATCAAAGCAGAGTAATCAGCATATCCATCACCTCAGATAATTATCATTTCTTTGTGTTGGGAACATTCAGAATTCTCTAGCTTTTTGAAAATATGCAATAGATTATTGTTAAGTATATTCACCCTGAAATACTACAGAGCACTAGAACTTGTAAAACTGTAGTTTTGTATCAATTTCTCCCTCTCTTCCCCTCTCACTACCCTTCCCAGCTTTTAATAAGTCACAATTCAACTCTCTACTTCCATGAAGTCAATTTTTTTTAAGCTCCCACATGCAAATGAGAATATGTGGTATTTATCTTTCTGTACGTGACTTAATATGATACTGTCCTCCAGTCTCGGCCATATTGCGTCAGATAACAGGATTTCATTATTTTTTTTATGACTGAATGGTATTCTAGCACACAGACACACATATATATATAAAACATGTTTTCTTTTGTTTTTTTGAGACAGAGTCTCACTCTGTTGCCCAGGCTGGAGTACAGTGGTGCAGTCTTGGCTCACTGCAACCACTCTGCCTCCTGGGTTCAAGCAATTCTCCTGCCTCAGCCTCCTGAGTAGCTGGGACTATTGGTGTGTGCCACCATGCCCGGCTAATTTTTGTATTTTCATAGTAGAGACAGTTTCACCATATTGAACAGGCTGGTCTCGAACTCCTGACCTCGTGATCCACCCACCTCGGCCTCCCAAAGTACTGGGATTACAGGTGTGAGCCACCTTGCCTGGCCTGTAATAAATTTTCTTTTTATCCATTTTTTTTTTTTAACAGTAAGACGGGGTCTCACTGTGTTACCCAGGGAGGTCTCAAACTCCTGGCCTCAAGCATCCTCCCACCTTGGCCTCCCAAAGTGCTGGGATTATAGGCATGAGCCACTGCAACCAGCCTATCCATTCATTTGTGGGTAGACGCTTAAGTTTATTCCATGTCTTTGGTATTGTGACTGCTGCTGCAATAAACATGGGGGTGCAGATATCTCTGATAATATCGATTTGATTTCCTTTGGATAAATGCCCAGTAGTGGGATTGCTGGATCATATGGAAGATCTATTTTTATTTTTTTGAGAAACTTCCATGCTGTTTTTCATAATGGCTGTACTAATTTACCTTCCCACTAACCGTGCATCAGTTTGCTTTTCTCTGTAACTTTGCCAGAATTTGTTATTTTTTTGTCTTTGTGGTTTTGATTTGTGGTTTTAATTTGCATTTCCCTGTTGATTAGTGATGTTAAGCATGTTTTCATACATGTGTTGGCCATTGTTATGTCTTTCTTGGAGAAATATTTATTGAGATCCTTTGTTTTAAAATCAGATTATTTTTTGTGGTTGAGTTCCTTGCTTATTCTGGATATCGGCACCTAAAAATTACTCTTAATCATACCATTTGTTGAATGCTTATATCCTAGAAGTTTTCTAAGTCCTTATACATTATGTCTCAGACTCTATGAGAAATTTGTATTCCTATTTTACAAATGAGCAAACTGAGGCTTAGTGGAAAAAAAAATTAAGCAATTTACCCAAATCTTGTACCTAGTAAGTGGCAGAGCTAGGATTTAAAGACACATCTGTCTGATCCCAAAGCCTGTTCCCTTAATAATTATGTGGCATAGCCTCTCCAGATAAACACAAAAACAAACAAAACTATGCATTTTACATATGTAATCCCATTCTTTAATAATCATTTAAGGGGATGTTGTTATGCCCATTTTACAGGTGAGGAAAGAGACTCAGGAAGGTTAAGCAATTTTCTCCGAAGTCACCTCCCTAATAAATGATGGGCAGCGTTTGAACTCCAGCTTGTGTGATGCCACGCTCATTGCACAATTCTGCTTCCCCTTTCTGGATCTCCACCTCATCTGGCTGTGTTGTTTCCCCCAGCCAGGTGCTCACAGTTCATGAACTAATGGATACTTGGTGCTTGTGAAAACCTTGTTAACGAGTACACGAATTACACATATCAGCACATGCCCCGATGGCAGACAGAAATAGCTGCCGGAAAGGTAGATTGGTAAACTGGCCTTTTGGTTGTTTACACATTGGCCTGTGACTGTTGAACTTGAATGAGCGTCCCCTCCTTCCCAGCCCCTGACCAAGGTCAATTCTGCGTGGACCGAGAGCCTTGTGTTTCTGAGCTGCGAGCTCTTGAGTGGACCCAGGTGTTGTCTACTGTGAGGGACAGTCTGGCTGTCCAGCTGGCCTCCCTCTGTGACACCCGTCTCTCAACTTTTAAAGCTGCACACTTGGTCTCCCCTACTTCAGGACAAGCTATATAGGGTGTATGCATCATTTTTCTTCTAGCACTAGCCAGTCACAGGGGTGTTCATAGAGCAGACATTTGAAGCTGCTAGAAGGGAACCGAAGGTTATTGGGTGAGTACAGAGGCATCAGCTGAATTGAGGGCTGGTGTCCTAAACCATGGTAATCTAGTGTATCCCTATCAATACATAATTCTGTGCTAGGCAGCAAGGGTGTAGGCCCGTCTACCCCACAGCCCCTGCCCCAGAGGTCACATGTAAACAAGGAGAGGTCTGCTTGCCCTTCGTGAAATCTCTGACCCTCTGAGCAGCATGTCTCCCTGCCTTCGTGACCTGCCCACCCCATGCCCAGACCACACCTACCCCACACCACTGGCATTCACATCACTTGATCGCAGTTGGCTGCTTCCTTGTCTGACTTCCTTACTGGGCCAAGCAACTGGAGGGTAGGGGACTCATGCTTGAGAAGAAAGGACTCTGGCTAAGAACAGGCATTCAGTTCCGAAAGGGACAGAGGCAGGAAGCAGAGGTGGCTGAGGAAAGATGGGGGTCCAGGTGAGAGAGCGCTGGAGACTGACATAATGTCTTCCCCCTCCCAAGTATGGAGCTGTGACCCCGCCCAGCAGGCATCTCGCATTGTCCCATTTCTGGAAAAAGAATAAAACACACAGCGGTATTGATTCTGCCTGCTCAGTGTCCTGCACACAGCAGATGATGGGGAAACGTGGAAGGATCGGAGCAGGCCCTACTCTGTCAGGTTGGTTTTGTCTTGGTCACATTGAAGCCACACACAGCACCCCAGTGACAAAGTCCCAGGGGACGCAGGAGCTGCTGTTCCCAGGACTGTCGTGTGCCTTAACACTGGGGGATCCCCACGATACTGGAACCCAAATGCCCTTCTTCCCCTCAGCATAGTCTCAGAAGCTTTCTTTTGAGATGTTCCAGCTGCCCTAATTCAGGAGTCTGTCTGTGAAAAAGAACAAAATTTCTGCCCCAGTGGGTGCATTGGAAAAGTCCCCAGGTCTAATGGTGACTTGGTGGGAGTGGCATTAGAGTGATCATGCCTGTAGGATTAGGAAGGTGCCACTGTCCTTGCAGTACTGACAAGGTGACAAACCTGGTCACCCGTGCTCTCTCACTGGCCTCCTCACACCCTAGGAGGTGGCAAGTATACATTTTACCCCTTCATTTTGTGGATGAGGAAGCCTAGACCCAGAGGGATGATTTGCCTCGAGTTGGGGGGTCAGGTGTCCTGACTCCCAGCTTCAGAGCTCTTCCTCCTGACTAGGTCCTGTGTGGTGCATCTAGATCCTAGAGATTTGCTTCCCTTCCCTCAGTTGGATTTCCTTTGCTCCGATGCTTTTTTAAGTTTCACATGAGGGGAGGCAGGATCTAAGTCCTAACCCTGGTAGCTAACACAGGACAAAAGGACATCTGCGTGTCAGGGAAGATCCACTTGACTGTGCTGTCCTCCTGCCTGGCCTGTGAAAATGCGTTTTCCTTTACACCACAGACTCATTAGCCAGTGTGCATCCTGCCCGGGGGCACCAGACACTGGAGATGCAAATGGCCCCTGAGGGGGGGAACTTTCTTCATAAGACAACATTGAAAAACATGGAAGATTTCACCTAAAAATCCAGTTCCTTGGAAAATTGGAAGCGCTTGTACCCTGGGACATACCCACATAATAGATTTTACAGGAGCCAAGTTTCAGCTGCCCATTTAGACCCAAAGTTGGGGCCTTAGGGCTCACAGAAAAGATCCAGTGACTCCCTGTCCAGGTATGTGGGTAAGCACTATCCCCTCCAGGTGTGCATGTGCCTTGTCCCCCTCCAGGTATGCGTGGGCCCTGTCCCCCTCCAGGTGTGTGTGTGCTCTGTCCCCCTCAAGGTGTGTGTGGGCTCTCTCTGTCTCTCCAGGTGTGTGTGTGCCCTGTCCCTCTCCAGGTGTGCGTGTGCTCTGTCCCCCTCCAGGTGTGCGTGTGCTCTGTCCCTCTCCAGGTGTGTGTGTGCTCTCTCTCCTGGTGTGTGTGTGCTCTGTCCCCCTCCAGGTGTGTGTGTGCTCTGTCTCTCTCCAGGTGTGCGTGTACTCTGTCCCCCTCCAGGTGTGTGTGGGCTCTCTCCCTCTCCAGGTGTGCATGTGCCCTGTCCCCCTCCAGGTGCACATGTGCTCTGTCCCCCTCCAGGTGTGTGTGTGCTCTGTCTCTCTCCAGGTGTGCGTGTGCTCTGTACCCCTCCAGGTGTGTGTGTGCTCTGTCTCTCTCCAGGTGTGCGTGTGCTCTGTCCCCTCCAGGTGTGTGTGGGCTCTCTCCCTCTCCAGGTGCGTGTGTGCCCTGTCCCCCTCCAGGTGCGTGTGTGCCCTGTCCCCCTCCAGGTGTGCATGTGCTCTGTCCCCCTCCAGGTGTGTGTGTGCTCTGTCTCTCTCCAGGTGTGCGTGTGCTCTGTCCCCTTCCAGGTGTGTGTGGGCTCTCTCTCCAGGTGTGTGTGTGCCCTGTCCCTCTCCAGGTGTGCTGCGTGTGCTCTGTCCCCCTCCAGGTGTGTGTGTGCCCTGTCCCTCTCCAGGTGTGCGTGTGCTCTGTCCCCCTCCAGGTGTGTGTGGGCTGTCTCTCTCCAGGTGTGCGTGTGCTCTGTCCCCCTCCAGGTGTGTGTGGGCTCGCTTTCTCTCCAGGTGTATGTGTGCTCTCTCTCTCTCCAGGTGTACGTGTGCCCTGTCCCCCTCCAGGTGTGCGTGTGCTCTGTCCCCCTCCAGGTGTGTGTGGGCTCTGTCCCCCTCCAGGTGTGTGTGTGCTCTCTCCCCCTCCAGGTGTGTGTGGGCTCTCTCTCTCTCCAGGTGTGTGTGTGCTCTGTCCCCCTCCAGGTGTGTGTGGGCTCTCTCCCCCTCCAGGCGTGCTTTATCTTTTTGTTTATCTTTACTTATTTATGTATTCATTCAATGGACATGTATGGCCTGTCTTTTGTCTGCTAGCCCTAGAGGATTTAAACAGTTAAGATGGAGGCAGCCATCTTGCTCTTGCCGCGTGCTGGTGTTGGAGGACCCTCCCTGCTTCGGATTTACCAACAGCATGAATCAAGAAAAGTTAGCTAAACTTCAGGCTCAGGTCCGGATAGGGAGCAAGGGTACAGCTCGCAGAAAGAAGAAGGTGCTACATAGAACAGCTACAGCTGATGACAGAAAGCTTCAGAGTTCTCAAAATAACTGGCTGTGAATAATATAGCTGGTATTGAAGAGGTGAACATGATGAAAGACGATGGGACAGTTATTCATTTCAACAATCCCAAAGTCCAAGCTTCCCTTTCTGCTAACACTTTTGCAATCACTGGTCATGCAGAAGCCAAAGCAGTCACAGAAATGCGCCCTGGAATATTAACTCAGCTCGGTGCTCACAGCTTAACAAGCCCCAGGAAGTTAGCTGAGCAGTTCCCATGCCAAGTCTTAGACAGTAAAGCACCAAAACCAGAAGACACTGATGAGGATGATGATGTTCCAGACCTTGTAGAAAATTGTGATGAGGCATCAAAGAATGAAGCTAACTACAATTTTGGTTTTCGGAAGCTGCGATGGACTAGATTTAACAAATCAGCTATGTGGTTCCAAAGTTTTACAGACACGGAGAACATCACCTGTTACTAGCTACTAGTTCAGTAATATAAATATTTTGTATATTAATAATGCTGTTTGTTCAGCATTTTTTGGTCATTTGATTTTACATTTTGCACTTCCAGGATTTTTTTTTTTTTGAAGTATTGGTGCAGTCTGAGGGTGTTTTGGTTTTTGATTCCTGTTTTTTTGTTGTTAGTTTGGGGTGTTTTTGGTGTATGTATGTTTATGTATGTGTGTGGGTATGTGTGTATACAGTGGAGAGCAAATTGCAAAACAGTTCTATTTATCCTACTCCCTCCCCAGCAGAAATAAAAAGAACTTTACATTCGTTACTTTTCTTTTCCCCCCATAAGACACAGAATTAATGGAAAATGAGTATCTTGGATTTCAGATCTGAAGAGATTTTTACCATTAGTGGTCTGATTTTAATTTGCTTGGTTAACTATCGTATTTTTCGTACACTTCTCTGGGTTTAAAATGTCTTGAGGTATTTTGCCACTGGCTTCATGCTGGAGTAATGGGTAACATATCTTTGGTATGGTTGCTTTAGATTCACTTACCTAGTCAGACCTAGAATAACTTCTTTTACTAGCTTGCTTCCTAAATGCCTTTTTTCATCTCCTTTTGGTCTCCAAATGGCCTGGCCAGTCTTTGGTAATATTCTTCCTCATCTTCCACCTGGCTTGAGAAGGATGTTCTCCACATAGAGTTAAGTGAGTGTGTAATCGCTCCTTTTGTAAAATTTTGTTCTCTCATCTTGAGGAACAACAGCGTCATCTTTAACTTTTTATTTCTCCCTGATTTTACAGTTTGGTAGATTTCTTTTCTTTTTTCTTGTTGCCCAGGCTGGAGTGCAATGGTGCCATCTTGGCCCACTGCAACCCTCACCTCCTGGGTTCAAGTGATTCTCCTGCCTCAGCCCCCTGAGTAGCTGGGATTACAGGCATGTGCCACCACACCCGGCTAATTTTTGTATTTTTAGTAGAGACGAGGTTTCTCCATGTTGGTCAGGCTGTTCTTGAACTCCTGACCTCAGGTGATCCACCTGCCTCGGCCTCCCAAAGTGCTGGGATTACAGGTGTGAGCCGACGCGCCCGGCCTACAGTTTGGTAGATTTCAAACTAGAGTAGCCAGCATGTGCTTGCTAAATAATTTTATCCCAGCCTTATCCTGTATCCTAGCTGTTCTTAATAGCAGGTACAAAAATGCCTCTTTTTCAGCAAGGTCGAAATTGGGAATGTTCTTTTGAATGAGAAGAAAATAGGCCATAAACTCATCCCCCAGCACAAATGGGCATTCTATGAAATGGTGCTGGCCCGAGGAGGATTTCCTCAGCCACTCTCCTGCTCTTGGCCTTGAACCTACCTCTGGGTTGGATCTTATTATTGTAGCTGCTCACTATACCCTCCTGCATGCTTAGAATAATGCTTTGGGGGAGCACTGGTAAAACACGGTATTATTTATTTATTTTTACCTCCTTTAAGAGGACTTGGAGGTACGTTGCATTCATTCACTCAAGTTTCCCTTTTGTTGTCTAATAAAAGCTTGCATTTTGCTATACCAGCATTTGTTATAGCCAATATTTAAGGATAAAATTTAGAAAATATATCATTTCCTGGCCCATCATCACACTCATACAGCCTCGCCTTGCAGTTACCAACTTTTGTGTCAAGCTAGATATCTTTTTTTTTTTTTTTGAGACGGAGTTTCGCTCTTGTTACCCAGGCTGGAGTGCAATGGCGCGATCTCGGCTCACCGCAACCTCCGCCTCCTGGGTTCAGGCAATTCTCCTGCCTCAACCTCCTCAATAGCTGGGATTACAGGCACGCGCCACCATGCCCAGCTAATGTTTTTTGTATTTCTAGTAGAGACGGGGTTTCACCATGTTGACCAGGATGGTCTCGATCTCTTGAGCTCGTGATCCACCCGCCTCGGCCTCCCAAAGTGCTGGGATTACAGGCTTGAGCCACCGCGCCCGGCCAAGCTAGATATCTTTATTTGATATCTAACATGCAAGACCAACATTATATTAAGAGATCTATAGACATGAAGGCAAAGCTCTTATATTTTTTCATCCGAACACCTCAATTTATTTTATACATTTGTTCATTTTTCTTGTTATGTTTTATATAATATATGGACTTAACAGAATAAAATAACAGTAATAAAATAACAAAAAACAGTTAAGACAATGTACTAGTTTTCCAGGATTGTTGTAACAAAGCAACATAAACTGTGTGGCTTAAAACAACAGAAATTCAGTTTTTGGCCAGGCACGGTGGCTCATGCCTGTAATCCCAGCACTTTGGGAGGCCGAGGCAGGCGGATCATCTTAGGTTAGGAGTTTGAGACCAGCCTGGCCAACATGGTGAAACCCCATCTCTACTAAAAATGCAAAAATTATCCGTGCATGATGGCATGCGCCTCTAGTCCCAGCTACTCGGGAAGTGAGGCAAAAGAATCTCTTGAACCTGAGGGAGGTGGAGTTTGCAGTGAGCTGAGATTGTGTCACTGTACTCCAGCCTGGGCGACAGAGTGAGACTCTATCAAGAAAAAGAGAGTTATTTTTTCACAGTTCCACAGGCCAGAAGTCCAAAATCCTTGGGTTGGCGGTGCCATGCGCTCTCTCTGTCATCTGGTGGCTGCTGGCAGTCTTTGGCGTTTCTTGACTTGCAGCCATGGAGCTCCAAATCTGTCTCTGTCATCACTTGGTTTCCTCGCCTTTGCATAAAGTATCTTCACTTGGTGTTTTCCTCTCTGTGTCTCTTCTTATAAGGACAGCAGACATATTGGATCGAGGACCTGCTCTACCCCAGTGTGGCCACATTGTAGCTTGATTAAATCTACAATAACCTGATTTCCAAATAAGGTCTCATTCACAGGTACCTGGGGTTAGGAGTTAAATATATCAGTTTTTGTTTTGTTTTTTCTTCTGGAGGGTCTGGTGAGAGAATGTATTGCTTTGGGGACGTGAACTAACCACAGACATTAAAAACCCTCAAATCACATGAAACGTAGAGCACGGCCCTTGCTCATCATCCACTCTGGGAGACTCCTAAAGTGGCAGCCAGTGCCGGGCGGCAGCTCTGGTTCGGCCGCTTCATTGCTTCAGATACACTAATCATTGGATCCTCACCATACCAGTTGTCCAATAGAGATTCTATTGCTGCTCCACTTTGGCACAGATGAGGAAACTGAGGCACTGAGAGGTTATTCAGCTTGACCAAGGCTGCAATTATAACCTAAGTGACTATATTCAAATATATACAAATTAAAAACCAGGCACCATGCTGCCCTCCTGTAATCCCAGCTGCTGTGGAAGCTGAGGCTGAGGGTCACTTGAGCAGAGCTGCTGTGTGGGCATAGGCAGGAGGCCGGGTCCTGAGCGCTGGACAGTGTGTGCTTCCCGGCAAAGCCCAGCAGGCTGTGTTCTCTTTCCCATCAGACTCCTCCCTTGTGATTTGGACAGCAGGAAACTAATCTGTATTTCTGTCACTGTCCCGAAACCAAGTCTGTAGTAACTTACAATCCCCTGATACGGTAGGACTGGCTACCCTGCCGATTTCCCAGAGTGACCGTCTCACAAGGAGATGGACGGTACAGAAGCACGGGCTTCTGGTGTAAGGTGAGACGAGTCTGACCATCTTCTTGACCCAGAAGTGATTTTTGTTGTGTTTTGTTTTAGATAGTGCCTCACTCTGTTGCCCAGGCTGGAGTGTAATGGTGTGATCCAGGCTCACTACAGCCTCTGCCTCCGGGGCCTGAGTGATGGAAGCCTCCCAAGTAGCTGGGACTACAGGCGTGCAACACCATGCCTGGCTAATTTTTGTATTTTTTGTAGAGATGGAGTTTCACCATGTTGGCCAGGCTAGTTTCCAACTCCTGGCTTCAAGTGATCCACCCACCTTGGCCTCCCCAAGTGCTGGGATTACAAGATGAGCCACTACACCTGGCATGGAATGTGATGTTTCTAACCTTCCTTTGACACAAGTTTCTGTCCACACATAGGGTCCATTTCCTGGGTCTCTGTCCTGTTCTCTAGTAGATGGAAGAACCATCCAGAAACCATCGTGTGCTCTAAATAACCTTTCTTTTGTGGTACTCCTTTCTCTAAGCAAATATAGTTAGCACCAGATGGGACTGTTGCAATGTAGAGATTTTACAACAGAAAAATGGATTCATTTAGAGTTTCCTTAAATTAGGTGAGGGACTTTTTTTTCCTTGAGCAATGAACTCCCACATTCGATATTCCCGGCGTGACATTTTGTGCTGTTATACTTGGTAAGCGAAGCTCAGCTATTCTGAGCTTTATGTGCCAGGAGCCTGTGCTCAGAGATCCTTTTTTTAGTTCAGCTCATAAAGGCTACTTGTATGTTTGGGTATTTCGTGCAGAAGGAAGTCTTCCGGGCTGGGTCCTTCACATTCCATGCTCTCTTGCTAGGCATCTGCAAAGTTCATAGCCATTTTTAACACACACCTTTGCTGTTTTCAAATCATAGTCAGAATTTAAAGCCATGACGGGTCTATTTCCCTCAGCATGATGTCTTCAAGGTTCATCGGTGAAACTAAGGGAAATAAGCCAGTTACAAAAGGAGAAATACCATGGAATTCTACTAGGATGAAGTACAGGTATTGATCGACTTACCGCCTATGCAACTTACGACCATTCGACTTTATGACCACAATCGCTAGCCACGACTGCTCCGCGTCTGGCAGCGCAAACGTTGCCCAGCTGGGCGTACGACAGTGCGGACCAGCTTCCGGCAGCACTACCATCTCCGCGTACACCATTTCAACTGTACATATAGCCTACTCAACTTACGATCAAATCGTGTTACGACCGGTCTGCGGGCCCGACCGTGGTCGTAAGTCGAGCACTAGCTGTACCTAGAGCCGGCAAATTCGTAGAGACAGAAAGTAGACTGGGGCAGGGGCTGGAGGGAGTCATGGTTCAATGTTTCAGAGTCTCAGTTTTATAAGATGAAACACTTCTGGAGATTAGTGGTGGTCGGGGTTGAACAATAGTGTAAATATATTTAATGCCACTGAACTGTACACTTAAAAATGGTTAAAATGGTAAATTTT